ACAAAAACAATAATAAAACGGCAAAAAGAATAACAACATTGTTGCACAATAGCCGTACATATACATGAATGTATATACGTACATATCTTTTTGCAATGCGATTTTTAATCAAAGTTTTTGCTATCGCGCCAGCCGCAGTTAGATAAAAAACTAACAACAAATTCAAAAGAAAACGGAAAGAAAATAAAAATTGAAGCGTATTTGACTTTGAGATACTCTGCACCATATAAAATTTAAAAATATTTTCAATTTCTTTATTATTGTTCTATATAAAAGAAAATTTGTTGACTAGTTTTAATGTATGACAAAATTAAATATAAATTTGTTATATAAAATTTGTTTTAAAGAAGCTCGAAAATTAAATTGGCATGTATTTTATAAACTTATCTAAAATATAAAAAAAAATTACAAAAAATATAATATGAAAAAATATGTATTTACCTAAAAGTATAATAATAATCATATATTTAGTACTCGGTATGTTTAAATATATTACTATTTATTGAATTTATTTTTTTCTTTTATTATGGTTTTTATTTCATTTTATTGGTTTATTTCATTTCTTTAAATTTTGTATTATAAATATTTGTTAATTAAAATTTGTTATTATATGTATGCATATGTACATAATTTTACCAATAAGTACTTTATTCATTATCTCCGCATGTGTGTCATTTCTCTCTCTCTGACTCTCTCCCTCTCTCATTAAACCATATCAAGCAGCATGGCAACGCCGCCTCGTTGTCTGGCAACTCTTACTCTGCCAAACCAGCGCTGAAGATCGTTCCAAAAGCTCTCCCCATACAATATCGATAGCAGCAGCTCACAACTCGCTCGCAAAGCTGCCAACGCTTGAAAGCTTTCAGCGAAAGCTCAAGCGCGTGTGCTTGATCATTGGATCGACTTCCAAACGACACATTGGAACTTTTCGAACTTCGAGCGACAACTTTGCTGGCGCAGCTGCTCAGTCGGTTTTAGTTCTGTTGGAGTGAAGCAGCAACGTTCGCAAGTTGAACGTCGATACAGAAAAGTAAGCACAAAGCAAACAAGTAAAAAAAAAAAAATTGAGAGAAAAAAAGAAAACAAAAAAAACTAATTTAAATTCAGTTCAGTATTTTTGAGCAATTATTAAATCAATGAAATAAGGCTGTACAATAACATTTAACTCAATTAATGATTGGAGGCGGTAAAAAAAAGTGATAAAAAATTGAGATAGCCAATGCAATTAGCATGCGTATTAGATAATAAATACAGCCATGCAACCCAATCAAAAAACACTCAAAACAAAACTGCATAGAAAACAATGCAACACCCAAAGTGCGCACAAGATAATTGAATGCAAAATATTTCTATTTGCGGAATGGAAAAATATTTGTCAAGTCAGCTGACCTTACACCCGTGCTAGAACGGCCCCGGTGGTCTTGTGATCTAAGCGGCTTCCAAGTGGAGTTGTGCTGCAGCCGCGGCGTTGCTTCGCTTCTTCGCAAAGAACGCACGCAACTCCCATAAAAAGAAAACGAATAAAAGCAGACGGCAAAATTCAATATGGTGGCTCGACTGTAGCGCACTTGTAGAGCTCGGTCTGCATTTTTCCAGTTGTGCTGTCAGCTGACAGCATGACAGTAGTCTTGTGATCAACGTCAAAAGGCAATTGTCAAAAATTCGAACTCGAATGAGAGAGTCGGCGGTGCGAGCGCGAGCGCTCGCTCTCTTCCGCTCTCTCTCCCTCTCTCAGTGTAACTCTAACTCTAACTCTAACTGCTAGATAACACATCTGACCCGCATACAGTTTTACTTTTCTCGTATATCGTAATCGCAGCTGAGAAATACAGCCACAGCTGTGTTGTTCATTTTTCGAATTAACTCTTAATTGGTTTGTCGTCTCAGCAGTTACTCGCGCTGTTCGAAAGTTAAAAAGTTATCAATATCGTGGAAGTCGTTTTTCGAACTGCTGCAAAGCTTTGTCACGTGAAACGAAAGCTCTGCGAACTTTTATTCATTGGGCATTTTTTTCATTACTAAAAGTTATACTTAAAAGACCTTTAAAAAAAGATAACTATTTTTTACTCGAATAATCCCTTTAAAACATAAATGTGAGATATTTAATGATTTATTTTAAGTTGGCATTATGCATGTTAATGGTTGTGCGCCTCACATGCGCTCTATATGTCAGCTGACAGCGATAAGAAAATTTTCAATTCACCTTATCTTATATCTTATGCAGAAAAATAATAGTAATTTTTTTTTCATTTTTTATATTTTTTTCCGTTTCAGTTGTAGAGTCGAAAATAAACCAAAATGTCCAACTTGAAGCGTTTCGATGACGAGGAGCAAGAGTCCAAATATGGACGCGTATTCGCTGTCTCTGGACCTGGTAAGTATTGCAATGAAAATTAAAAAATAAATAAATAAAATAAAATAATTTTAAAACAATTTTCTTCTCCGGCCTTCAGTCGTCACGGCGGAGTGCATGTCTGGCTCTGCTATGTACGAGCTGGTGCGTGTAGGCTACTATGAGCTGGTGGGTGAGATCATTCGTCTGGAGGGTGACATGGCCACCATTCAGGTGTACGAAGAAACATCGGGCGTCACAGTCGGTGATCCCGTGCTCCGCACTGGCAAACCCCTTTCCGTTGAATTGGGTCCCGGTATTATGGGCAGCATTTTTGACGGTATCCAGCGTCCATTGAAGGACATCAACGAGCTCACCGAATCCATCTATATCCCCAAGGGTGTGAACGTGCCTAGCTTGTCCCGCGTGGCTAGCTGGGAATTCAACCCCTTGAACGTGAAGGTCGGCTCCCACATCACCGGAGGTGATCTTTATGGTCTGGTTCACGAGAACACACTGGTCAAGCATAAGATGATTGTCAACCCACGCGCCAAGGGTACCGTCCGCTACATTGCCCCATCCGGCAACTACAAAGTCGATGATGTTGTTCTGGAAACCGAATTCGATGGTGAGATCACCAAGCACACTATGTTGCAAGTGTGGCCCGTGCGTCAGCCCCGTCCCGTCACCGAGAAGCTGCCCGCCAACCATCCCCTGTTGACCGGCCAGCGTGTGCTCGACTCGCTCTTCCCCTGCGTCCAAGGCGGCACCACAGCCATTCCCGGTGCTTTCGGTTGCGGCAAGACTGTGATCTCACAGGTAAATGCAAACATTGCCAAACTCTTGTAATCATTACTCACGCACTCTTATACACTTTACAGGCTCTGTCCAAGTACTCCAACTCCGATGTCATCATCTACGTCGGTTGCGGTGAGCGTGGTAACGAAATGTCTGAGGTATTGCGTGATTTCCCCGAGCTGTCTGTTGAAATCGACGGCGTCACCGAGTCTATCATGAAGCGTACCGCTCTTGTGGCCAACACCTCCAACATGCCTGTCGCTGCTCGTGAAGCTTCCATCTATACTGGCATCACTCTATCCGAATACTTCCGTGATATGGGTTACAACGTGTCCATGATGGCTGACTCCACCTCTCGTTGGGCCGAGGCTCTGCGTGAGATCTCTGGTCGTCTGGCTGAAATGCCTGCCGATTCCGGCTACCCCGCCTATTTGGGTGCCCGTCTCGCCTCCTTCTACGAGCGTGCCGGTCGTGTCAAGTGCTTGGGTAATCCCGAGCGTGAGGGTTCCGTGTCCATTGTCGGCGCCGTCTCGCCACCTGGTGGTGATTTCTCCGATCCCGTTACCTCCGCCACTCTGGGTATCGTACAGGTGTTCTGGGGTCTCGACAAGAAGCTGGCCCAGCGCAAACATTTCCCCTCCATCAACTGGCTCATTTCGTACTCCAAGTACATGCGTGCTCTGGATGACTTCTATGACAAGAACTTCCCCGAGTTTGTGCCACTGCGTACCAAGGTCAAGGAGATTCTGCAGGAGGAAGAAGATCTCTCTGAAATCGTGCAGCTGGTCGGCAAAGCATCGCTGGCCGAGACCGACAAGATCACCCTGGAAGTGGCCAAGCTGCTGAAGGACGATTTCTTGCAACAGAACTCCTACTCGTCGTACGATCGCTTCTGCCCCTTCTACAAGACCGTTGGCATGCTGAAGAACATCATCGACTTCTACGATATGGCTCGTCACTCTGTGGAGTCGACAGCCCAGTCTGAGAACAAGATCACCTGGAACGTCATTCGCGAGGCTATGGGCAACATTATGTACCAATTGTCATCGATGAAATTCAAGGTACGTACGATTAGAGCTCCACTTGTTCGACTCTAAACTAATATGCGAATCAATTGTTTGCTTTGCAGGATCCCGTCAAGGATGGTGAGGCCAAGATCAAGGCTGACTTCGATCAGCTGCATGAGGACTTGCAGCAAGCCTTCAGGAATCTGGAGGATTAAAGCGTGTTGTCCATACCTTTACAAATCTAATCTAATATTGTTATGTAGTTAACTTTTAAAAAACAATTTGCGTACAGTCCGTACCGAAGTACCGTCAAAAAACAACTATTCCGTGCAACAACAAAAGATTCCAAGCGTCCAAAAAACAAAAAAAAAAAACTATTGTTAACATTCCTTTTTGTTAAAAAAAAAAAAAACCAAGAACAACAACAAAACAAATATAGCCAGCGAGATGAAAACATTCCGGCCTGCGGTTGCTTCTTCTTACCCCGACTCTCGGCCCCCAGCAACAACAACAACAAACTAACGTCCTTCTATGTACTTCCATTACCAATACACGTAAACACGCATACACACAAGTCCATACACACACACATACGCGCACACACACACGCAGATACAAATGCATGCATAGTATTATTGTTTAATGAATGGAAATTCTTTTGTTTATTTGTGAAAAAGTCATGTTTTCTCTTTGTTTGTTTGTTAAACTTATGTAAATATTAAAAGTATGAAATATTAAATGTACGAATAAAGTGCAAACAACAAATACATTTAATGTAATTGAAAGCAGACCTATCTCTCTCTCTCT